CCTCTGCCCTCTTCGGGGCAGACCCCGCGCCTGCGGAGCTCCGCGGAGGAAGGACCCGCGGGGGCGCATCCCCGCGGTGGTCGGCGCGGAGCAGCCCTCGGCCGGGGCCGGGCCGAGTGTATCGGCTTCCACTTGGCTCCTGAATAAACAGAGCGAACATATGTCCCGTATTCGTGACAGATGGTTCAAACAGAGAACTATTTAGTGGTTTTCCCACAGTTGCTACTATGTAGCGCTCCCCCGAAACCCAACAAAATGCAATTAGCCCAAAATAGCGTCAGTTTCCAGATTTCCTTGTTTTCATACATGGAAAATTTGATTCAGGTGTTTTTTATGGTTTAGCCGGAACCAAAAGGTTTTAAAAAAAAGAAAAAAATTTAAAAATCAGTATATACTTTACTCGGAATTTTGTCAACAAGCCACTTGGCCCATTTGACTTAAGGAATTTGCTTCTCCTCAATAAATTTTGCCTAAAGGAGTTTGCCTCGCCTCAGGAGATGGAAGATCATCAGGCTGGCCACTTTTATAGCGAAAACTGGATGGCAGATGGAGCTAAACTGTTGTAAGGTACTTCAGAAACACTTATTTAAAAGCTTAGCATATGCCAGGATATGCAGAGAATACAACATTCACAGAACCCAAGAGGAAGCTTTACATTTTTTTTTGTTTGTTTTCCTCTCCTGCCACTTTTTCGTAACAGATTTGTATTTCTACTGAAAACAAAACAAGAAAAAAAAAAAAACAAACCAAAAACAAAAACAAACAAAAAACACAACTGTCCAGAGTACTGGTTCGCTCCATGAAGTCATAATAGTGATGTCAAGTTGCAACCTATTAAGTCACAACTGTTTGTGTTTTGGTCGTTTAATACGGAGGGGCATATGCTATTATATGGTCACAAAATCTGTTACCTGCTGCATGTACAAGGGTATAATTAGAGAAACTAATTCAACGACCAGGTTTCTAGAGTTTTTCAAGATAATTAGAAGGTGCTAAGTTGGTGGTAGCATTGATGATTCCAGACAGCTGCAGCTGTTGAAGTAGCCAGATTTAATGAAACAAGTTGGCCTTCCAAACACTTCAATACAGTTTGAACTGGGTAATATAGAGATGATTACTTCTTCACCGGTAATTTTGACACCATTATGGCACATGATAAGATTTGTATAGAAGCTATCTGTATGCCCAATATGTAGGTAGCATTATTCTCCTGTTATTTGTAAGTCTAAGTCAGGAATAACTACAGCATTCACAGCAGAGCAAGGCAAGTGAAAATAAGCCTGAAAGCCAGCCCACTATTTACAAAACCATTCATGCACTGATGTCCTGAATGCATATATATACACACACACATACACACAGTATTATTTAGCATATAAAAGCAACACATTGCAAATCTCTGCATTAATAGCTACTTCCACTCATAAAATACAGCGTTTGTGGGTTGTCTACTACGACAGTGAAACTGAAATAATATTTTAAGTGTTAAAAATCGAATAAAACATTACTGACAGTTCAGAAATGACAGCTGGAAAGCGGGCATCCAGAATTCTAAATATTGTCACTAAACACCGTTCTTGCCAGTATTTTGACTCATCTTTGGAAAACTATCACCCAAAGTGTAAAAAGGGTTAAAGTCTTAGTCCAAAAAAGTTTTAAGATGCAACCATGTTCTGGAAAAAAATAAAATAAAATCCAAGGATAAGTCCATGTTACCTACAGTTGCTCAGAATGTCCAACTACTGCACACCCTAACAGGACTGGAAGTGTGAGAAAACTGTTGCAAATCACAAGGACATTTGTTCCACGGCAGAAATTACCATTTTTTTTTCTTTTTCTTTCAGAGATGGAATTCTTTCTAAATTTTGTCAATTTATTTCCAGCACTTTTTTATTAATCTTTGGGTGCCATCCTTTCCATTTATTACTAAACTAATTTCCGTGTCCTGCTAGCACTGAGACAAAACAAGTGCTTTACTCTCTTTGTAGAGGATCACTGTGGTTTTGGGTAGCTGAAGTCACCTGTGTGTTGAACTGGTGTCACATTAACACACAAGATATGGAGCTTTCCTGAAGTGCCATGCTGTATTAGTATTACTTATGTATACTCTGCTACAAATCATAGCTATTATAAAAATTATTTTCAGTTTTTTTAAGAATTTAGAAAGATACCAAACAAAAACCCATAAGCCACTCTGTGACTGGGGTCATAATTCTTCTGCTCTTTGCACATTCTTTTCCAATTGCCTTTTACCTCCTCTGGGGTAAAATTAAGTCAACGGATGCTTTGCTGTTGATTTCAGTCAAACCAAGGTCCACCTTACAAATGGTATCTGACAATTGCTCAAACCATAAAGCTCTTCAATCAAATGAATAATACAAAAATGAAGCAGTACAGAAATCTTTAATGTGAACATTTTAAAGATATTTAAGCTGGCTTTCTACTCGATTGAGTTTTATAAAAATATTCCAGAACAATTAATATAACGTATATAAGATACAGCTGGCAGAGACAAACACTTCATCAGAAGACAGATGACAACATAATCACCACTGAATTATTGTTTAAAGGCCATTACAATATAAATAAGTGGAAGACAGTACTACTTCAAACTACTTACCTCCAGCATTAAGTGCTAATACTTCAGTCTTCACGTAATTTTAGTTACTTGGTTCTGTCTCGTTATCTACATTAGCTGGTATTCTTTCATTGAAAACTTTTAATAAAGAAAGGGCAAAGTAATGAGGATAGAGGGGTTACCTGATGCTAAAACTTCTATAAAAAACAGTGATTTAAACACTGTTCTTTCAAAGTTAAATGAACCACTGGGCGGTTTTAAGCTTCCCGTCACCTTGCAGGCTGAACCCAAACGGCTCTGAATACAGCAACAGCATCAAACTGTACCTGTAGTCAAGGTCGTCTGGTACCTGAGGCCAGCCATACAGGATGTGCAAAGTGAGAATGCTGTTTTTCCTGTATTCAGTTTTACTGGATTTCCTGCTGCCACCTCCTTTGCCTGTAAACGACTGACAGCAAACTCTCAGAAGGGTGTCACATGCAAAAACTCAAATGCAGTCGATGTTTTGCAGCCAGTCCCAAAAGCTGCATTGTTGGAGCACTGCATTAGGTTGTTATGGCTGGCAGCAGTTCAGGTGACAACGTAACAGTATGCTGACAAGAACGTTGAATTACTACACTGGCTGGGCCACAGTTAGCCTGCAGATTCCCTTTGCCATCTCTGGCATAGACCTCCTTTTAAATACTGAACCCTGCAAGAAAATATTGAAGTTGGAGCCGCTGAGCCCAGGGAAAGTTACACAGTATTATCTGCAGGCCAGGTAGATATGTGAAGAGAAATTATGCTGAGAATAAGAACAGTGTCATGAACTTTAAATATAATTCTTTGGGGAAGAAATAGGTGAAGCAAAGCTGAAGCTGAACTAATGAGTCAGAAATAGCAGGTGGGGGAGAGCAAGCAATTGATGGGAAAAAGCCTGTGTACCATGGGAGCACAAAAAGTAGTGTTTACACAGGAGGCTTTATTCAATAATGAGAAAGGCAGAATAGACAAGTTAGAGAATTACTAGGGACTGGGGGAACAATCTGAACTGCATTTTTTGTCTTACATTTATCTGCTTACCATGAAGTCAAAGCGCCTAGTGGTGGGAATAAGGCAAGAAGGATTTGCTCAAGGCATTAAAGTTTTGTAAAGGACAGATTAAATAACAGTACTCCAAAAATCAATTTTGAGGGGCTTACGAAGCCTTGAATGGGCTTTTGCAGCACAAAAGCAAGACTGAGTTTTTACTGAATCTGTCATTTATTTGGGTTTAGAGCTTTCAGTCAGTATCAGGAAAAACATAAAACAAAAGCAAAGAGAGCAATGAGCAGTCACAGAGTAATCAAATAAAAAACACGTGGAAGTGCAATTCAGACACTGACTTAATTAATGCAAAAGTGTAAGGAAAGAAAGTGCCACTCCATCCCCACCCCCCACTTTAATCATACCTGGGAGTGAATTCCCACAGCTGTTCTTGGCCAGAAAGTTTCTCCTGAACTCTTGCTTCCCTGTCCTCACCAGAGGTTGTGTTTATGTAGTATCAGACCACTGTAGGGAAAGAAAAAAAAAAAAGCTGCAAAATCCCTCTGTGAATTCATATCTATGACCCGATTATGATTCCAGTAGATCAGATACCTAAATACTAAAACAGTACAATGCAGTTCAGAGAGCTTGTAGTTAAGAAACACAACACAAAGATTTGAAAATATGGACAAAACTGCAGCCACTTGTGAAGCTCTGTATCTT